AATAATTGACTGGAAAAAGAATTAAAGGAAGAATTGTTCTTATGAAATCAGTAGGTAAGGTCTAATAAATCAATCCAGGACTGATTATTAATGGTACCTACTATTTACAAAAAAGACAATAATAGCAACAGTAAGGACTGGACTTTCGTTACATCATCTCCACTAACCTGAATACATTCACTAATGGTAAAACTCTCTTAGATGTTAAGAATAAGTTCAATGTAACACTATTCTAGTCTATACATCTGTACATTACCGGCGCATAAAACTTCTTACTCCCTGCTCTTCTCTTGCAAGGTTAGCCGCTCTGCTCGGCCATAACCTCGTTATTCCTCCATTACCCATTTTCACTTTCCTTTATTCCAGACACAAAGTTGAATTCTGGTAACCGTAACTATGATTTCAGAAAATCTGTTGTTCAACCTGTCAAAGTTGCTTCTTCTTCCAATATATCATCATGACGTTCGTCATGAAATCGATCCAGCACGCGGAAAACCCATCCTGCAACCAGCGCAAATTTCTGATATATGCTTGCATCAGATTTCCGTGTTTCCCCTTCCACTTTTATCAACTCGGAAGGACAAGTCGCCAAAGGACTTGGTTGTAGAGGCAGTGGTGCGCAAGGGCATTTCGGCAGTCAACTATGAAAATCAAGTGGTTAGTTTTTACTGTTGTGCCATGTTCCAGAAGAAGTTGTAAGGTTACCCACTATTTTCTGAATCACCGATGAACTTCACAGTGGGTGGTCTTATTGGTAGGGGAATCGTCAAGTATCTGGGTCGTAAAAAACATAGGGTCTTGTGTTCTATTCGCCCCAAAGACCCTTTGCGTACCCGATAAATTCAAATAGCTGCTAGAGGAGTGAATACAATGATCGGCTGTAAGGACTTTCAGAGAATATGCGGTTAGTCGGCGGACAAGAACTCAATGACTTGAGGTGGAACTGACCTGTTTTCACTGAAATACTGCACAGGTTGAGCTCGTCCTAGCTTCACCCTTTGGGCTACTAGTCACCAGCACTACGCAGAAGTGCAAGCTCATCTTCTTGCGTGCAATGAAAACTTCGATTGGGGTGAAGAGGAGAGGAAAAAGTTTGTGCGAGCGTCCGAAAAGCTGAAGTACCAAAATTTAGTGTGCGCTAGTTGGGGTATGATGAAATTGCGAGGAAGGAAGGAACTTCCTTCCTCTTTCGATGGCTGGATTTTGTCCACGTGAGCGAGCCAGTTAGAGCTGTCTTCTCCTGCCTTATGAAAAAAGAGTAAATCTGGTGAGGAAATCGAGCAATTTGCCTTGCATCTGCCTTGCATCTGCTTTCCAAACCTTAAGTCCCATTGATGTAAACAGACTTCAAAGTGATTCGGCCAGCTTTTCCTTTCTGACCCGGCGTGAAATGACCCGGAGGCGGCCAATCATGCCGGAATGTTGTCCCATTTGAATCTGACATCAAATCTTTTCTCCAAATCCAATATAAAATAACTTTGGTTGAACCAGACTTCATTTATATCTTCCTTCCACGTCCAGTTTAAAACGACCTCGATCCGGCGAATCATTGTGCCCTCCCATTTGAGCCTTGAATTGAACCTTGGAATCTTTCTTCGGATTCTGAGGCCATCCCTTCTCTCCAATCGACCTCGACCTCGTCTATCCGCAGAAAATGCATAAAAGTTATAGTTATGCTACACCAGCTGGTGCGTACTCACAATCTCTGTACAGCTCAAAAAACATCACATTTGAATGACTGGAATATAGAATCAATCGAATCATCAGGATCTCACGTTAAGTAGCGTTGATCGTTTGCACAAGGGTATATTTGATGGCCGTTACACAATAATTGACCGCACACACTGTTGTTTGGCGCGTGAATTCTCGCAATCACCTCAAATATCAGTATTACTAAACATCTGGATTTCTACCATATCATCCATCTCATATCTGATTCAACTTCCACACATTAAACTGTAAGAGAAGCCTGTAATACAGCCCCATCTTACATACAGGATTAATTTGTGCCCAATATCCCACCCACACTCCATCCTCAATTGCAGTATACACTCTTAGAAATACCACCAGTTGCAAGGAATCATCTTCCATCTGCGTCTACGGGCTCCTCAAAAACTCCCAAAAGCTCATTTCAGGCGGTCCAGAGGGAGCTAGATACCAGCGCTTGTATTGATCCCACTTCCAGACAAGGCCATCCGACCCTCGATAAATCAATCGAACTTTTCTCCTCGAAAACAGTTGCAATTGAATGTCAGCAGTGAACTCTTCCAACGACAATCGTTCCTGGTCCTCGAAGGCTTTTCGAATATCTCCTGGATGATGCGGGTGATGAACACCTCTATCCATGCGTGTGGTGGTATGACTTTTCCATTTCGCATCTTCGATGTCTAGCCCAGCACCTAGATTGACCCATCTTGTGATAACCACCGCAAGCCCTCGCTCTCCAAAATCTTTTACATCTAACACAAAGTCCATCCAACAATAAAGACATTGCAATGTTTGTGTAGGACACTTTTCTCGAGCCTCTCGCTGGTCAAGCCTAGATCTCACCAGATTTGATACTAGATTTTCATCACGAGGCCCTAGTCGTGCATGTATACAGAGTTCAGTCGAAAAGCTGTCCTTAGCTAATTTGTCGATGAATTCGTCTTGTTGGCTTCGTGGGAGTAAAATCCATGTTTGAGACCGCATCAAAAGTTCATTAGAGACAATCTGGGCATCGACAGACAACAAAGCAATTTTCTGCTTGTACTGATCGTGTTCAACCTCTACGACCCGAAAAGCTTCAAGAGGAAATCCAATATCGGTACCGTGTAAATGTTGCCTTATTGCCAACTGGATGTGAGAAAAATATATTCGAAACCTCGAATAAAACAAAAGACTATAGCCTAAACTATTCCGAGTACAAGGAGGGCCCAAGCGGTGTTTAATTATGCGGGGCCATTTAATTACACTTATTCGATGAATGCAGGTACATTCTTGACATACGAAGTGCTCAGGAAGGTCTTTCGCTAACAATGATAGAAATGCGAGCAAGACATCAGGTGCTTCACTTTTGAAGGATTTCCAGGACTCAGGCCCAAGTATATGATACATACGGCGGTTACAGAGAGCAAGACAGGCAACAGATGGTGTTGGAAGCATGCTTGTTATCAATGATATAATTTCTGGTGGAAGGCGAAATAGTTGCGATGCAATTGACTTCTCTTCTGCCTCGGCAGCGGTATCAGTTCGAGTGGTTAACCCAAGTCTTCCGAAAAAATTCCACAGCGTGATCATTCTGGATATTGTCGATACTTCTTTCTTGGATTGTCTGTTGTTGTTGTTGTTTTTAAGTCTGTCGAAGTGCCGATGAGTTTCACTTTACCTCAAAATGCTCAAGCCTTAATGGGTCTAGCGCATTCTACGGGATTCCAATATTATGGCCTAAGGCATCAAAAGCCACCTGAGCCACATCGGACCTCTCTTTTCGAGTCCTCCGAGTTTGTCTTTCAATACCCTATCCATCTCCTCGTCTTCGCAAGCAGTAGGAGCAATTTTCATAAAATTCCTTGGATAAATTGATTCATAGATATTACACCTGAACCACCGGCCATGATATTTAGATGCTCAGTTTCGTCTGGTTTCCATGTGTTGACATATGGGACCGCGGACTTTTAGGAATTGCTGGGCGTAGAGATGTTGGTAGGTGCTTGAAGTTTATATCAACTTCAAAGGTGTGAAGCCATCGACTCTGCCAAGAGTCTTTGCTTGCGATGATGTAAGATCTTACATGGTGTACCACTTGCACGTTCAAATCCATTTTCCGCCTTTGAGTTGTTCATGATATCCCAAGGTTGTCATCACATTTATTGGGGACATTATTGAGACGTCGAGTAGCCACAAACTTTTGAACTCCAATTGTGGGAATTGCCCAATGGTAGTCAATTTCCTCATTCGATAATAAATGGTGCTCACGTGCAACAATATTATTTGTTGCACATCTGTCACGGATCTGAAGCAGGGATCGAGGGCCGCTTTTAACTTTTCACAGAATCGAATGTTAAGTTTAAGCGGCATTCCTTACTTTTCAAGGAGGCTTTCCTTTGATGGGTAGACTCTTGTGTTTAAGGCGCTAGGAAATGCAAGAGGCATTGTTCAAATCCACTTACATGTCTATATGAGCATCTACTATGAGAAGAACATATCTTATGTCACTTGAATCCATTAAGTATTGAACCGTGCTCGAAGATTCACCACTTCTAGGTACATTGAACTAATCCAATATTGAATCCACTTGAACCCCTTATACCATATCATATCAAAAAAATTGGTACGCTGAAGCCTAGCATCAGATCTGTCCCATAACTTAAATCATCGAAAATATTGATCCCCAAGTTACATGGCTGGTTGGGTTAAATAACCGAGAGGCTAAAGATGAGATGAAGGGGTAGAACAGTGAATAATTGTACTCCGTACCAAAACTATCAATATTCACATACTAATCCCAAGAAACTCAAGATAGGTGCTTGACGTTGAAATCATGTTTAAAATTAGAACATTATAATAGATGATCTTCCGGATATTAAAACCTCGAAACAATCTGATAAGGCGTAGACGGCACTAGCGGTCAACCTAAACTTTGAGAATTCTTCCAAGCCTGGCTGTGTAGACTTTGCTTTCTGGACGAAAGCCAGAAGAAGATCCATCACCGAACAAAAATTCGATCTGTGATCCAAAAGTGTTTTTCGGAGCGACTAGTTGGAAATGGATGCATGTAGAAGAGAAATCCATTTATTGAATTTATTTGGTGGGCTGTTAGACCCACCAATACAGTACCGTCTAACCCACAAATCAGCATCATCCATAACCCCAAAACTAAACATCACACAAAGAGAAACCCCCGAACAAATCTTTCAACGTTCTCCTTCTTTCAAACGATCCTTTCTTTCTCCTCCACCATCACCACTAAAAATTAACCCTTCCACACAACAAACCCCCTCGAAAATTAAAAAGTAAATTGCCTACTACTGGAATCGAACCAATGATCTTAGCATCTCTAATAAATACAAGTGCTACGCGTTACCACTGCGCCAAGCAGGCTTTATTTAGAAGTTATCTTCTAGTAGTGGTTGTTGACTCGGCTCGCGATTTGGTATATAAAGAGATGGTTTCACTAAAGCAAGAGAGTGTGGGTCAAACATTGATGTGCCTTGAAGTTGATTTGCAGTGATAACGCGTAGCACTTGTATATCACAGAAATGCTACAAAAATGCTCTACTACTATTCTGCTCTGCTCCGCAGCTATTATCTAAAATCTCCTTCAGCTCATTACAAAATGGCTCAATAGCTGCAGACATTTGTACTAGATAATTGACATTGCTGCCATGGCGTAGCTTCGTCATAAATCACTGTCTATTCCGTTAAGTGGCCTATCGCATTTATTAGATTATGTTAATAGACTTCATGGCGCTGCCTTATATCATGTCTTGTCTTAAGCAAAGAGTAAAATTATGCCTTAATATATCAATCATAATTTTCTGCAATTACGTGCTCTACTTTCGTGGTATCGCGTCTTCGCAGTACTTTTCAAAAGCCAAACCAAAAAAAATCCCCCAAAATCCGTTCCATAGTCAATTGCCTCTCATATATATCATAAACCTGTTTCATTGCTTCATTCTGTCTTTGCCAAAGAAACATCATCATTCGAAGCCGTAGCTCCTCCAGCAGCGATGGTTAAACCTTGAATAATCTCACTTCCAGTCACATATATAATATACGAAGGAACAACGAGCCATGCACCACTAAAGAAAGTTAGAGAATATGCATAGCTCCTACAACTTCAAATAACTTACTTTGGAATGATCCATAAGAATATAAGATCACGAATACTATTATGACCAATATTTTCAAAGCCAGAATAATATTCATTCATCCCTAAAATCATCTTAGCAAAAACATCACCAAAGCCAATATCCAAATCAAACTTACAATACAAAACCGTCTTGCTCACAGTCATAACAGCAGCACTATAACCCACCAGCACAGCCAGCGCCCCCATCTTGCCATCCACAAACCTTTGCTCTCCAAGAATCCCCGAATTCTTAGGAGCACCTCTTCCCTGAGCCACCGATGATTTCCCATAAGCATATAAAATATACAAATAGTAATAATACATGAAGCTCTCAATAACATTCAAAAAGGTTTGCGCAGCCGTAAATCCATTATGCTCATTATAAGCCTTCCATCCATATATATAATCGACCTTGCCATATAATTCATACGGAGCCCAAATTGGCCAATGCAGTGATCCGCCGGGCATAGAAAGAGGTCGAAGAATAACATATCCGGCATCCCATGCTACGAGTGGCAGAGAAATAAAGAGCCAGATGATGGTGAGGTTTGAGGGGGTGTGCGCCCATGGTCCTTTGCGGAGAGGATTGCGAGAGGGGATGGTAGGTGTGCGAGTGGGTGTTTCGGGAAATTCCTGCGGGTGCCCGCGTGTTGAGACCATTTTTATTTGTTTTGTTTTGTTTTGTTTTGTTTTATTTTGTTTTATTTTTTAAATTATTTGGTGAATATTCGGATAGAATTATTTTGATAAATATTTAAATAGACAATCTGTTCAGATCTTCTTTTGAAACTTGTTGTAAGATCTTACATTCCTTTCTAACCCTAATCAATCAAATCAATCAATCAATTGAATCTGGGGAAAGCTCTCGGGCTTTCCTAATTCCGATCCCTGTCCTGTTCGTGAACACACATGGCAAAATTTACAGGAAAGGGTCAAACGTCATAGGCTACATTTTTGATTCCTCGAAATTTCTTGCCTCTGATCCAGTGCTACGGTTGTCACTGTATTTGATCACCGTCTTCAATCTCAATATAAAAGACGGTTCCCTCTTCTGTTCAATACCCTATGTTATAGTATCATATCCAACAATGGAATCGCCCTCCCAGACCAAAAGACGCTCGACGCGGATAGTTGAAGCGTCATCAACAAGTGTTAAAATGACACCGCGAAGATCTCCATTCATTCCAACTACTTTCGAATCGATACTTCTCTCAATTTACCCTGCGACATTACTCCTAGGCTCAATATTCTCAGTCTTAAGCCCCGATGTACGAGCATCGGAATATGACGCCGCACTTCAATCTCATCCGCCCAGCACCGCGCCCTCCTATTTCGCAAAGAAAAGCAATATATTCAACCAATGGTTCGTGAAGAAAGGTTGGGCATGGATTACCGCCAGTTATTTTTTCTTCCTCCTGACGCATCCATCGACCGGACCTCCGGGCGTTTTCACCCTAACACCAAGACGACTACGCGGATTTTTACGATATGCAGTTGTTACGACCTGGTGGGTCTTCGTCACGCAATGGTTTTTCGGCCCGGCAATTATTGATCGCGGATTTATTATAACCGGTGGTCAATGTGAGATGGTTGATGCGGCAGAGAAGGGAAACGTCGATATGGTTAATACGCGTCAGTTTCTTACGGGGGTAGCTTGTAAAGCTGTGGGTGGAAAATGGAAGGGTGGTCATGATATTAGTGGGCATGTATTCTTGCTTGTTCTTGGGAGTATGTTTCTTTTTCAAGAAGTACTTCATGTTGTGCTACGCAGCTCGGGAATAAAGGAGGAACGTACAATAGTGATGGGAGATGGAGCGATCAAATCTGCGGAAGTGGAGGCTCCTCCGCAGAATGAAGCAGAGGGATTGAATCAAGATGGATGGTTAGGACTTAGTGTGAGGATTATACTTGGGGTGGCGGGATTGAGTTTGTTTATGTTAGCTATGACGGCCATATATTTCCATACGTGGTTTGAGAAGTTAACAGGACTGATTGTCGCTTTCGGAGGAGTGTTTGTTGTGTTTTGGTTGCCGAGGTTGAATCCTACTGTGAGATCGGTATTAGGGATGCCGGGGATCTAAACGATGATGATGATGATGAATAAAAGGAAACGGACACATGATAAGAGTAATAGAAGCTTTGTATCTAGCTAATCTTTTAGATGTGAATAATACTGCTAGTTTTATCAAGACAGCCCGATGTTGCAAGAACAAGAATAGCTGTGAAATTGTAAAGCCTACGCCTTAACATTAAATGGGCACAGATAATCACACAAGCATACATCTGGAAGTAAATGATCCGGGCAAATATACCCTGTCAAGACTCACTAGATACAAGACGAGTTTCAAATATCGTTTGGTGTTTCAGGGGATGGCTCGGTTCGCGAGATGTGGCTCCAACATCAATATGGAATGTATCTGAATCTTCACATCATGTTTCTAAGGTTGTTTTTCACGGGTATCACATGTAAAGATATTTAAAGGGTACCAAATAAATGTAACACGTAATGAGACGCATACTAAACATTCTAAGGATTGATGAAACCACTACGCGAGACCAAACTAATGCGCGCAACCAGAAAGGCGGTGCACAAATATGCAGATGTGAAATATGAAGCGAGCTTAGATATTAACCAAATTTCCATTCTCGTCGATCTCATTGCCGGCCTCGTCGTATTGGGGATCATAAGCATCGAAATCTACATGGTATGTTAGTCAATGATTTTTATAGCCATCCCAAGGATTTATTTGGATTGCGTAGGTAGGTAGGAAAGAAATGGGGAGGAAATACCTCTACGAGTTTTCTGCGCCTTTTTGTTTTTCTTGCTGCTGTTGTCTTTCTTGTTTCGACGCTCGACGACGTTTCCGTTGGAATCAAGTTCATTTCCTCTGAAGAAAAAGTTAGCAATTATGCATTGTAAAGAGAGATGGGAATAGGAAAGTTAATACATACTGTGCGTCGTACTCTTCGTTGCCACTATCCTTCTCGTCGATTTCGTTGCCATTGGCATCATATTCCGTATCACGATCGACTAATTGTCCATTCTCGTCAATCTCATTGCCATAGGCATCGTAACCTGTGTCTTTCGAATATGTTAGATGAAGTTCCCGGGTTTGGTTATTGAGAGCTGGGCAGTTTACTCACCACGCTCAACCAAGTTGCCATTTGCATCAATTTCATTTCCGGCGGCATCGTAAGAACTCTCAACGCGTGCCTGGGCCTTCTTGCTCTTCTTCGCTAAAAGATGTTAATATGGAACGAACTCGAATAAGTGATGTTGATATACCTTTCTTGGCCTTCTTAGCTCTCTTTTCGACCACGTTTCCATTCTCATCGATCTCTTCGCCAGCAGCGTTATATTCTGAATCTTGTGACTATTAGCAAGCTATTCAGGGTTGTATAGAGAAGACATTGATGGTACTCACCACGCTCGACTAAGTTTCCATTCTCATCAATCTCTTCGCCAGCAGCGTTATATTCTGTATCTTGTGACTATTAGCAAGCTGTCCAGGGTTGAAGAGATAAAATTTTGATGGTACTCACCACGTTCGACTAAGTTGCCATTTTCATCAATCTCATTGCCGGCGGCATCGTAAGAACTCTCAGCGCGTGCTTGGGGTTTCTTGGCTATACAGATATCAGTATCCGAAATCTGTGTTCAAAACAGCCAGATTAACGTACCCTTCTTGCTTTTCTTCGCTCTCTTTTCGATGACATTTCCATTTTCATCGATCTCCTCACCATCAGCATTGTAACCAGTATCTATGAATCTCTTAGTAATCACTCAGATGTGAAGTGTTTATGACAGGCTACTCACCACGCTCAACCAAGTCCCCGTTTGAGTAGATCTCGTTCCCCTCCGCATCGTAGCCATTGTCACGAGCCGCAATCCCGAACTCAGCTCTTGCCTCTATACCAGAAACTGAGCGAGCGACATTGGTAGCAACATCCATTGGCGCTGCCTGAACTGCCAACATGGCGCAGAAGGCCAAAATCAAACTTGCTGTTGAAGAACGCATCTTGAATATATAAGAAGTAATGTAAAAGTAATTGAATGAATGAATTAAGTTATATTTGAAAATAAATCAGACCAGCTGTTGAACAGTAAAAGATGAAAAAAGGTATATTGGGATAGTTTTAGAATGAAGATTAGGCAGAGAAGTGCGATATATATGTGGTAATTCCAAACGATCTTTTCCCCATTCTCCAAATCATCTCAAACACCCGCCACCCAATACCAACCTATGAG